TTTTTTTGGTATCGGGGATCAAACTTGGGACCTTGTGCTTGCAAGGCAGGCAGCAGAACCACTGAGCTAAATCCCCAGCCCTGGTTCTGATTCTTGTTACACTGGATCAGTTTGCCTGGTTGTAGTTCTGGTTTGGAAGTCAACAGTGCCATCTAGTGGGACAATTTGCTAATGTCAACTCAGAATTGTTTTCTGGAAACCCTAGTTCTTTGCCGTTTATGTCTGAGAGCCTCTTAAATTAACTTAAAGTTTTGATTGTCAGAAAGGTAGGATAAATGGAAGAATCAGCCTATCGTGGCTCAGTCAAAGTCTGCCTCTTCCCTGGCTGGTTGTGGTCATTTGGGTTGTTTGAGCTCTGTTGACTATTGTAAATGGTATAAAATATTGGGCTCCAGACACCCCTCCTTCTGCTTCACCTCACATGTGCTGCTTGTGGTACAGACCAGTACTTCTGTCTTGAGGCTTGCCTCTGGGACTGTGTCTGATTTGGAATTTGAGTTCCATCCATTTGTGGATTGCCTACTATGGCATAACACTCAGCTCAGATCATATAAGTGGTGCTCCATGCAGACAACAGGTCAACCCCAAATAAGAATTCTTATGGGTTAACAACATTATAGTGAAGTTTTATTATAAAGAATTTGTAATAGGCAAGTCTATCGGAGCTGGCAAAGTGAAATGAAGAGGAGCCACTGTAACCAGCTCCTTCTAGCTCTCGGGTCCTTCTTTGGGGCAATGAATATTGAAGCTGACAAAACAGCAAGCAGCAAGTAGTGAGGAAGAGCATGTTTATTAGAAAGAATAAAAGTAAAAGCTCCATGCTAGTTGGGGAGGAGTTCCATAAAGTGGACACTGGAAGTTCAGGCTTGGGGGGCTATAAAGTTTTCGATACTAGAGTACATCAGGGAAAGCAGGGAGGCTCCAGGTTGCAGATAGGCCTTTTATGTCTGGAATGAAAACGGCGTCGTTTGCATTTCACTTCTTCCAAGGTCTCTCCCATTAGTTTAGGGACTTGTACTGTGTCCCTTGCATTCCATTCTGCCCTGATAGTCAGTTTGCTTAAGTTAATTATTAGAGCCCTCTAGTATGTTAACTCACTCAAGCCTGACTTTTAGTTTATTTTAGGTTAACTATTCAGGACCTGTGCCCTATCTCCCTAACTACCCTGTTTCTTGGTGTCACCTGGTTTGTTCATAGAGAACAAGCAGTCAAAAAACACCTGGTATAAAGGAAAGAGAAAGGGATTGTTGTACACACTTTGTTCTGTCACATAGATGAAGGCTTTGTGTATGGTGCTATTCTGGTTTCTGATATGCTTGCACATGTTTTCTTGTATACGTGTCTGAAAATTTTTGTGTAAGTTGCTTCTAACACCATAAAACCATTTACTTCTTGCTGGAAGAACAGAATTTAGGAGCATGGATGTAACTGTAGCCACAAAAAATTTCTTGGTTGAGATTAAGCACTTACTCTACAAGACTGTTCAGATTCCGTTGTCTACTGGGGATCTAGTCTAAGGAAGAGACTTTAGAAGTCAGTACACCTGTTGTAGCAGACAGGTCCACCAGAACAAAGACATAATTTTGGTTATACTGTACCTTGGATTATAGAGGCATTTATATTAATAGGAATTGTTTTTGGTTTGTCTTGTTTATAGTTTTTGTTCTCTTTCACCTTTCTTTCTGAATTGGACAACAAAGTGAAGAAATTTTTTAACAGCATATGTTTATTAATAATTATGCGGGCCGGGGATTTAGCTCAGTGGTTTTGCTGCCTGCTGGGCAAGCCTAAGGACCAGAGTTCGATCCCTGGTACCAAAAAACAAAAAACAAAACCAAACAGAAAACAACAATAAACAAATAATTATGCATCCATATGTAAAAATTAAGATGTTCAATCATGATTATACAATTAAAATGTTAATTTAGAAAAATATATGTCCACAAATATATATCAAAGACCCCACAAAAATAGAATACAAAATTTTCTGAAATCCACAAAAATAAAAAATAAACAAAAATAAAAGGATATATTTTGATACCTCCAGGTAAACAATAAAAATATAGATATTATGTGTCTCCGACTATATATGTAGTAATAATATACTGTTATGTCCAGGGGTGGACAGCTCACCATGCTGTCACGCCATGCCACTACTCTGCTGAAAATGCAGCTCCCAGCTATCCTAAACCCAGTTCCAGTAAAGAACTAAAAAAAGACAAAGTTTAGTATAACGAAAGATGGTTTATTTGAAAAAAGATGGAAAAGAAAGAGGATAGGCAGCTGCCATGGAGTGGTGGAGGGCATCAGAGCTGAAAGCCCTGGAGCTCTTATTGCTGGCTTGTTTTATTGGGGACTAGTGTCTTTTCCATTCCCAGGTGGGCACTTGTCATGTCTGATCTTGTTCTCTTGACTGTCTTTGATCTTATCCTAGGCATGTCTGCCTACTTTCCTTCTGGACACTTGGTTTCTTCCTGTCCCTTTGTAAGGAATAAATGAAAGGGGGAGGGCTTTGGGGGAGACAGCTTACTTAATAATAAAGTAAAGGGGACTTTTCTACATGTGTGTATCTGATGCAATACTAACGTTAAAGTGAGGACATACATGTGTGTATGTATAGGTGTGTGTGTGCAGGCGCACACGTGGGTGTGCTTATGTGTCTTATATAGTAAGAGTCCTCAGGTGGCTGTCTCTTATCTCCCTAGCCTTTTGTCAGGTGGGTGAGAGGAGCTGGCTTTCCAGGTCTTTCTTGTCTCTGGCTTCCTCAGTTTCTAACTGTTCAATCCTTAGGGTAATTGTGCTACCTGGTGCCCCTCTCAGTCAAGCTTTTCTCTCCCTCCTTTGACTTTCTAATTGCCCTAACTGCAGAGTCTACCTGCAGAGGCAGAACCTGCCTTTAGTAAGGTTTTCTATTAATTTCTTTAATAAAGTTTAATGAGATCCTATTTTATCCTTTTTCCTGTGACCCCCCTGACCCTGCAACATCAGCATAAGATATGGTAGTCATAAAATAATAACTTAGTGGATTTTTAGAGAAATTTTCATAATAAGGATTTATTATGAATAGTCTTATTTTTAGCAGCTGTCAGCTACCTTTTTCTGTAAGAGACCATTTAGTGATTATTGCAAGCTTTGTAGGCCTCACGGTGCCTCTGCTGTGTTATTATAGACAGTTAAATTAGGTAGAAGTATTATAGGTAGTCAGATGGGGCCTGGCCCTCGACAGAATCCGGACAAAGGTAAAACACATTACATCTGTGGCCAGAGATGCATCTGTTGGATACCAGGCCTCAAGATGAAGATGAAATGACCTGGCCTGCATACTTCCCCAAAGGATAAGATAAGCGGTAACACCTTGTCTAATGAAGTCTAGATAGACATCAGTCACCCCAGTGGGTGACCAAGACCTCTAGACCCATCATTTCCTAGAAAAAGTCTTTGTTCTTTCCATGCACACTTGTTACATGACTTGTTTCTCCATTGGATCAGTATTACCTAAGCGACTACACTTGTAACTGTATTGGTTGAGCATAGCTTTAACCCATGTTGAAAACATGTGGTTTTTGTTCTGTAAAACTTCCCTGTAAAGTGGGGTCCTCGGCTACCCATTCCGGACCCCTCTTGCCTCTCAGGAGCTATCCTCTCAATAAATATTTCCTACTCTTAACCTCTGATGTTCCTAGAATTCATTCTTTGATTTTAGAGAACATGAACTCAGTATATCAGACATCTAACAGGTTGAGAATTATATTATTTCCCTTCTATAATTAGGAGGTCCTATTTCATCTCCTATATCATCCCTGTATCAGTGTCACCTGACTCAGCTCTGCCTCGACTACTGACCTTGAGACCACAGCCTGAAAGCACTCAGGATGGTGAGTGTGGCTGTGATCCAAGAAAACTTGAGATTTGGACAGTGAAATTTGAATTTCATGTCATTTTCATATGTCATGAAATATTCTTATTTGGATTTTCCCACCAACCAACCATTTAAAATTTCCAAAGCCGTTCTTAGAGCTGGGTACGTAGCTCAGCGTTAGAGACCTGCCAAGCATGTGGCAGGCCCTGGGTCTATGGATCTCCTGCATCAGGGGAGGGCGGACCAGAAAAAAACGACAGAACAGTCTTAGCTCCTGGAGCTTGTGCAGAACCAGATGGTTCCAGATTTGAGAACATGGAGGTGGGGGGAGGGAGTGGAAGATGGGAGATGGCTGTAGTTTTCTGACCCTGGTCAGATGGAGTTGTTGATAATTATTAACTAATAAGAATGATTTGTCCATCCTTTATATAGGCAGTGTCATGAGGTGTTTGACCTGCCTTCTTTCTCTGGGCTCACATGAAAGGCAGCCGTATTCCACATTCCCATCATACATGGAGTCTTTTAAGAGCTCTGATCCTGAATGGAGGCTCAGTCTTCATCTCACCTGCAGGGCTGTGAGGAGTGGAGGGGTCCACCCTTTCCTTCTTCTTTTGTTCCTTCCCTCTCCTCAGTCCTGCCTGGAGGTCCAGAAGTCAACCAGCTGGTCCTGACCCCACTGAGTCTTTGCCTTCTGGAATCTTCCCTCCCTCCACACCCTGCTCCGCCTCTCCCTGCCAACTCTGCACCTTTTTTTCCTCAGGAGTCCCGGGTGGGATGTGGAGAGTGGGTCATTATCCCATCAGAGGGGTCTCCCCAGCCCAGGTAGAGGGCTGGTGCACTTGCCCTTGGAGCTGTATCTGGTCAGGGGAGAAGAGGGCAGTAGGTCTCGACCTTCCTTCTCCAGTCTGCACAGCCGCAGACAGTTCTTGGGTATCATGGGCTGCACATGCACAAGGTTTGTGTCATTTCTCACAGCCCTTGTGTGAAATTGCACTCTCTATGCTAAACTTCCATGGAGGAACTTACAGCCTTACTTAATTTTGTAACCTTCTTTCTTTGTCTAGTTGAGGTCTCAACAGTCTCCCCCAGGGTTGAGAAAGAGGCTGAGCATTAACGGTTCATATCCTGTGTCTTTCCTCAGCAGCCAGCAGAGTAGCCTGCAAAGCAGCCACGATGATGATTCCAGCAGGTTCCTGAGTCCTCGGGTGCGGGAAGAAAGGTAAGATCAAATCGGGGGGATGTGGGATAATGAGGGCGGGTGGGGTGAAATGCTTAACAAAGACTATACTTCTTTCATGGGTAAGAGCTTTGGGAAATGGAAGAGTAGTAGGAGAGCGCCAGACCTCTGTGCTTGGAGCCTGGTTAGAAAGACAAGCTGTTCACCCAGGCGACAAGAGGGAGCAACAACACCAAGGGGCAATTCTGAAGGCATTTGAGGTTCAGCAAGGGAGAAGTTCACGTGTGTCAAATCCAGTAGGTTGGATGTGAGGCTTGAGTGATACCTCATAGGTTGGGCGTGGTGTGGGTCAGGAGGGAAAAGGGTGTTTGATGCCCTAGGAGGTTACATGGGGTGGCATGGCATCTTTGGCGGCAGATGGCAGCAGCACATGGGCCTGCCTGGCTTGGAGTTTGCTGCGGGTGGCAGAAGTTAATGGAGAAGGAGGTTTGGATGGATGGGATGCAGAGAACATGGAGATTCCTGTGTGCTCGGCTCAGGATTTGCAACATAACTACCTACGCACTCAGAATGTAAGGAGCGGCTCGCGTTGCTTCATGCAGTACTAAGAGTAGTGGACAGGAGTGCGTTTGTGGTAGTGAGTTAGATTTCTGCCCAAAGAAAGTGGGTTTGAGAGAGAGAGAGAGAGAGAGAGAGAGAGAGAGAAGATTTCTGGGAATTGAGCCCAGGGCTTCATGGAAGGGTTCTGCCACGTTGACTGTATTGATGATAGCCCTTCCCAGTGACATCTTTTCAGCCTTCTCTGTGGCTACTTCTAATGCTCTGAACCATGTGGTCAATTATATAGTGAAAGATCGTTTCATAGAGCAAGCAAAAGAACTGACATTGATTTCTTCTCCCTCTGCCTTAAAGATCGAATACGATACACTTCAGCAGATTTAATATAACATCAATTTTTCTGTTTTCTTTTTTTGGCTATGCAAAATATTCAGGATGGATACAACATTTAGAGATACACTAGCTACTATAGTTACGCATCCCTTGACAATGTGGGAACATCATGTGGAGTGTATGAAACAAACCAAGGTGTCTCTCGTATGTCTAGGTGATGTAGAATCATGGGACCAACTTCAGTATGTGTGCTCTTTGTTGGCCTAGACATCCTGTGCAGTGCATGACTGTACGGACAGCAGCAGCTGAATTGTCTCAATGTTGTCAGGCCAAAGGACTTCTCAGTGTTCTTCCTCATTCACACAATATTCTGGAAAGCCTTTGGAAGCATGATGGGGAGGAGGGCAACTTGGTGCAGAGTGACAGTGATTTTCTGGGCAGTTGCGGCATTGGGGATAAATCTTGATTTTAGTAAAATAATCTGTTTATTGGGAAATAGTGATTGGTTCAGGAAAATTAATAATCCCCCCAAGTTTCCAGTACAAAGGAAAATGAGTAATTTCCCCAATGTGTGTGTGGACATATATAATGCAATACAGGACATTAATTCAATTTCTTGCTTCAGGGTGAAGCCAGGGGCATAGTGAAACACTGGATTCCAGGTTCAGCCCCAAATCCGACTAGTTGTTAGGGTTTCTCAAGTACCCAGTCCTTTCTTTAGTGTATTTCCCCAAAGGCAAGAACTTCTAAACACAGTCAGTACTGTAGAAGAAGGAGCTATCTTTCTAAGGACCTGTTGTAGCTGGGTGTGGTGGTGCATGCCTATAATCTCAGCACTTATGAGGCTGAGGCAGGAGGATTGCCATGAGTTTGAGGCCAGCCTGGACAACATAGTGAGTTCAAGGCCAGCCTGAACTACATAGCGAGACCCTGTCTCAAAAAAAAAAAAAAAGCAAAAAAACAATAACAAAAAATAGACTAAGGACCTTTCATGCATACCAGGTTCATTTCAACAGAGTAGAACATGGTCTCAGTCGAACAGTGAGCCTTTTAGCAGTAGAATAATTGAGACCTGGAGTGAGGGGTGTGTGTGTGTGTGTGTGTGTGTGTGTGTGTGTGTGTGTGTGTGTGTGTGTGTTCAAAGGGAAGGTCATGGCATCCAGGCCTTGGAACAAGAGCATGCATTTACACACCCTCTCCTGCATGTGTGTGAGTGAATCACAAATGTTCACAGAATGTCTGCAAGGTGCATGGGGCCCTGGCAGAGCCCACGCTGCAAGAGGATGGAGGATCTTGGCTGCTGATGGACGTGCTGTATTGGCAAGAGCAAAAGCACTAGAGGCAGACTTCATTTTGCATATCTTCTTTGTTCCTTCTTAACTGTGTGTTTTTATTTTTATTTCATTTTGTTGTTTTATTGCTATGGATCAAAGCCTGGCAGTTGCACACGCTAGGGCCTCAGCCAGTGATGGTGAACCTTTTAGAGCTCTCAGTGATACAGCCAGCTGCCATAGGTTTGCCACCACTGGCCTAGGCAAATGCTCTACCACTCACTGAGCTATACTTGAAGCCCTAACAGCTTTTATTTTCTTGTCCTTTTTTTTGAGATAGGGTCTCACTGTGGAGTCTGTACCAGCCTGGAGCTCACCATGTAGCCCAGGCTAGGCTTGAACTTGTGATCCTTATGCTTCTCTACCTGGAGTGTTGGGATTGTAAGTATGTGACACCATGCGTGGCCCTGACTATGTATTTTTCAAAGGAATTTACTCAGCTTTACTCAACTTTAGTTTTCTCATTTGTAAAAGTCTGCTAGCCGTCACATCTTCTTGTAAAGGATAAGTGAAGTAACGTATTTAAAGTGCCTGGCATTCAGAAAGGTGCTTAATAAATGGTAATTGCTATGCTCTTATTTTGGTTTTCATGAGATTTGACTCTGTGTTAACAGCTCTATTGTCTTCTGTCTTCAAAAAAGCAGAGATAGAATGCGTAGAATATGGGGCTCTTGCAAATGTCACAGCTATGAATAAATACAGCATGGTTGGTATTTGCCCTCAAAAAGCTTAATACCATATATATATATATATCCTGTTCTTGGTATGTAGTTCAGGCTGGCATTGAACTCACTGTGATTAAGGCTGGCCTTAACCTTGTGGTGATCATTCTGTTTCAGCGATTACAAGCATGCGGCACCATGCTTGGCAAGATACATTTGCAAATAAACAAGTATACTACAATGTAGTAATTGGCATGGAGTTTTGTATAAAGTACTAAAACTGAAGAATTTGTTTACCAAGTGTTCACTATGTGCCAAACCCTGTGCAAACCCTTTTGCACATTTTTGTAACACAATGCTTTCACCAGCCCCCTCAATCAGATGCCCTCCTCTCCATATTAGAGTCGAGGACACTGAGGCTCAGTGGTGTTAAGGGACATTTCCCCAATGGCAGGTATCACACAACTTCTCTGCTTGGGGTAAAGCTGGGGAAGGTGGGTAGGAGAAAGACTGCGGAAGGAGAAAGACTCCTGAGGGAGGTGCTTCGGCTAAGAGCCGCAAGATGAGTGGGAGTGTCACACGGACAGCGTTCCTGGTGAGGAACAGGATGTTCATAGTGTGGAGGAGTGAGAAAGCAGGGTGTGTTCAGAGCCACAAATACTTCAGCTTTACTGCAGCATCAAGCCTGGGAGCTGGCAGCTCCAGAATGGCCGGAAATGATGTTTTGAACAGGGAGGCAGGTCCTTGACCAATACACCTGCTGTCATGGTAAGGAATGGATGTTGTTTATTTACTGAGGAAAGGAACCCTGGAGAGATTTTTGAGAAAAGGAATACCCAGGTGTTCTACTTCAGCCAGGCTTCTGTGACAGAATACAAGTGGCTTATAAACAACAGAAATTTATTTCTTGCCTTTCTGGAGGCTAGAATCGCAAAGGTCAAGGTGGTGGCAGATTCAGTGTCCAATTAAGGTCTGTTTTCTCCATAGACAGCCATCTTCTCATGGCAGAAAGAACAACTCTGATCTCCTTGGTCTCTCCAAGGACTGATAATTACTCTTATGGGGCTCCATCCCTATGCCCTAATCACCTCTCATCGCCCCATCTTCTCATCCCATCACATTAGAGGATAGGATTTCAACGTGTATTTGGAGTGAGGGGGGAGGGGCAAACATTCAATCTATAGCATCAGGTCACTCCCAGATAGTTTAAGAAAAATCGTGTTGGTCCCAGTGAGGGAGACAGACGGACTTTAGGGACAAACACTGGAAGCAAGCAGATGAAGCTGGTAATAGTTTACTCATTTGTTCTCTTGTTTAACAATTACTCTTTGAGCACATATTACATGTTACCTACCTGCAGGCATTGGGGGAATAGCTATGAACAAGGTATTACTGTCTCCTCCATGCTTGCTTCTTAGTGAGAGAGAGACAATAGACACGTAAGGAGCTGTCAAGTAGGAATAAATGTTACAAAGAGAATGAAAGAGGGTGGAAGGTTGAGTTCACCAAAGACTGAGGTGGGCAGGGACAGCTTGCTGACTGCCATGGCAACACTGAAGCGGAGATCAGATGAGCGTATTCTGAGTGTTGGATGTGAGGACAGAAAAGGAGGAACCAGTGGAAAATCTGTGAAGCAGATTTGACGGGACTGACTTTCAGCTTGGGGAGGTTGTGCAGGATGCTTGGGCAGCAAGAACAGGTAGCACAATCTGGAGGCTCTGTGCCTACCTGGGTTGTGACTGGCTCTACCGCATGCTGTGTGATCTTGGGGAAATTAATTGACTCAAGCCTTGCTTTCCTATAAAATGGGTATAATGATAGTGATATCTCACATGGATTTTGAGAGAATTGAATGTGTTTTGTGTGTAATGATCAGAATAGGATAGTACCCAGCCTGTGGCTAGTGAGTGTTACCTGTGTGTTTGCATTATTATTAAAATACTGGGAAAAAAGGAGGAAGAATGTGAAGAGCAGGCATAGTAGTAAGCTTAATTTAGACACATAGATTATAAAGTGCTCATGGAGCCAGATGTGGTGGGGTATGCCAGCACTCGGGGAGACTGAGGCAGGAGGATCAGAAGTTCAATCAGCTTGGGAGCTTAGTGAGACTGTCTCAAAACAAAATCTATATATCTGTATAGACTTATAGATTTATATA